TGCTTGACATATAATTTATATTTTAAAATATTAATGAGATCTTTTATATTCTTTGATTCATATTAAGTTTTTAATACTGGGTATGCATTTTATACTACAGTACATGAATAGCCACATTTCAAGGGCTCAATAGCTTAACGTGGCTAATGGCTTCCATATTGACCAGTGTTGATCTAGATTATTTGTTTTCCTAGATCAAAAGGAAAACAAAACGCAATTGCCCAAAGGTACAGCAATTCCTCCAGGCAACAGGATGCTGTGGGTTGGTCCCACAACTGTTTCTTCTTCTTATTATTATTATTATACTTTAAGTTCTGGGGTACACGTGCAGGTTGGTTACATAGGTATACATGTGCTGTGATGGTTTGCTACATCCATCACTCCGTCACCTACATTAGGTATTTCTCCTAATACTATCCCTCCCCTACCCTCCTACCCTCTGTTATCCCTCCCCTAGCCCCCCACTCCCGACAGGCCCCAGTGTGTGATGTTCCCCTCCCTGTGTCCGTGTGTTCTCATTGTTCAACACCCACTTATGAGTGAGAACATGTGGTATTTGGTTTTCTGTGCTTATGTCAGTTTGCTGAGAATGATGGTTTCTAGCTTTATCCACGACCCTGCAAAGAACATTAACTCATCTTTTTTATATCTGCATAGTACTCCATGGTGTATATGTGCCACATTTTCTTTAGTCAGTCTATCAATGTTGGGCATTTGGGTTGGTTCCAAGTCTTTGCTATTGTGAACAGTGCCACAATAAACTGTTTCTTAAGTACCTACTTATTACATGGTTTTGACATGGCTTTCACAGAGGACAGAGGAAGCCCGTGCTCTTCCTAGGTCCTAAGAATGTGATCTGCCCAACTGTAGAGTTTCTCGCCCATTATTTAATACAATGTTGGAGGAAGGAAGTGGCAATCGATGGCCTTTTTTGTATGGTCTGTAATTATCATCCCACCTTATTGCTCCCTTTTTAAAAAACAAACCAAGCATGCATTGTTTACCTTTTTTTCTTTTTCTTTTTCTTTCTTTTTTGTTTATTTATTTATTGTTTGAGACGGAGTTTCACCGTTGTTGCCCAGGCTGCAGTGCAATGGTGCGACCCCAGCTCATTGCAACCACCACCTCCCGGATTCAAGCGATTCTCCTGCCTCAGCCTCCTGAGCAGCTGGGACCACAAGCACATGACAATGCACCAGGCTAACTTTTTTTTTTTTTTTTTTTT